CGCAACTGTGGAAATTAAGTGTATTGCAAAGTTGTATTCAGAAAGAATAAACCAATTTTATTTAAGAAAGGACTTGTATCCCTAAAGTTTCTTTGGAAAGAATTTTTACGGAAAATTAACTAACGATCGGAGACGTAACAGTATTATGCTATCTTTACTTCTTAGTTTAGCATTGAAATATGAAAACATATTACATGTTTTCCACCATTTACTTGAAAAGTAAGATTTTAAAATTATTATGTTTTTCATAGTTCACCAGATGGACACAAAGAGGTGCTCAAATAATTTACTAATTTCATCTTTCTTTAAGTGACGCCCCCTAGTGGCACAGCGGTATGAATGCGGACTTACAACGCTAGAAACCGGGTTTCGATACCTGTGGTGGGCAGAGCACAGATAGCCCATTGTGTAGCTTTGTGCTTAACTTCAAACAAACAGACAAAATCTTTAAGTGACAAATGAGGTTAAGCGAAGGCCAAAACCTATTTATCTGGGTCTATAGTAAAAAAAAATAATGATGTTTTTAATTAGTTGGGCGATCTATTCTTGTCGGCATATCAGGTAATAGTTGTGAATGGAATTGCCCTTGATATTCAATGCTCGTTAGCCAACTGATAACAAGAACTAATCATTGCTTTCTTGTATCAGGAACTTGTGAGTTTGTTGATATATTTAAGACAGTGTGTGGGCTTGGAAGAACAGATTTTGTCCGAATTGTAAGATCAGAGAATTTCACAAAATTTACGAGATTATCATAAAATTTTATGTGAAGTTTTTTGCAGTTTTCAAGTGTTTTAAGTTCTTCCCTGCTTACAGTTCAGAGTTCAATTCTTTGCTTAAATCTGGAGGCCCCTATATAAGAAAATACTATGCGATAACATGTTTCTACTATTTACACTGTTAAAAACCTTTTGGAGTCTTGCAAGATCTTTTTCTATATGAAAATTAGAATAGGAAAAATCTGTGTAACTTTGGGGAGCCAAATTACTTTTGTAAACTTTTCTTAAATAGTTTTCTATAATTATATGCAAATAAAATATTTCCT